GATGGAACCATGAGATGTGGGGCTCCCCACGGTGCTGGGAATCCCAGTGAGTTGGGATTTGGGAATCCTAATGAGATGGGATGGAAACACGAGATGTGGGGCTCCCCATGGCGCTGGGAATCCCAATGAGATGGGATGGAAACACGAGATGTGGGGCTTCCCCACAGCGCTGGGAATCCCAGTGAGTTGGGATTTGGGAATCCTAAGAAGATGGGATGGAACCATGAGATGTGGGGCTCCCCACGGTGCTGGGAATCCCAGTGAGTTGGGATTTGGGAATCCCAGTGAGATGGGATGGAAACACGAGATGTGGGGCTCCCCCTGGTGCTGAGCACCCCAGTGAGGTGGGATTTGGGTATTCCAGTCCCAATGGGATGGAACCATGAGATGTGGGGCTCCCCACGGTGCTGGGAATCCCAGTGAGTTGGGATTTGGGAATCCAAATGAGATGGGATGGAAACAGGAGATGTGGGGCTCCCCATGCTGCTGAGCATCCCAGCAAGGTGGGATTTGGGAATTCTAGCTCCAGTGGCATGGAACCACAAGATGTGGGGCTCCCCATGGTGCTGAGCACCCCAACGAGGTGGGATTTGGGAATCCCAACCCCAAAGGGATGGAACCAAGAGATGTGGGGCTCCCCCTGGTGCTGGGAATCCCAATGAGGTGGGATGGAATCACGAGATGTGGGGCTCCCCCTGGTGCTGACCACCCCAACGAGGTGGGATTTGGGAATCCCAACCCCAAAGGGACGGAACCACGAGATGCGGACCCCAGCATCCCTCCTAACACTGCCGCCCTTCGCTAATTACCGATCTAATTACTAATCAGCGCCACCAAAGAGCCCGGGTGCCCCCCCGTGGCGGTCTGACAGCGCAGCATTATGCAATAACTCCCCCCACTCCCTCCCTCCTGCAGGAACGGAGCGCTTCGAGCCCCCCCAGCCCCCCCAGCTCTCCCAGGAGGAAATCTTTCCCTTTGCCATCTGGAGGGCCCACGCAGAGGGGCGCGGGTGGGAGGGCAGCGAATGCCATTTCTGCCATTCCTTCCCCCTTT